TCTTCTTCCTCCTCTCCTTACTCTCTTCAGTTCTTCTTTTCATTCTTCTTCTTCTTCTTCTTCTTCTTCTTCTTCTTGTTGCTCCGCCGTAGCGCTTCCCTTTCTCCTCCCTCTTCCTCCATCCGTCTCCCTCCCTCCACATAGTCTCCCTCTCTCCTTCCTCCGCCATCTCCTCCCTCCACATCAGTCACCCCCCCTCCAGTCTCCCTCTCATCCCCATCCTCCTCCATCAGTAAACCTGCCTCCGCATACTCTCCCTCTCTCCTTTCTCCGCCATACTCTCCCTCCCCCCTCCTGCAAAACGGACAACCCATAATCTACCCCTCTCCTGCACCCCCTTCCCCCATCCCCCCGCCAACCCCCCCAACACACAGAAACCGATATGCCTGAAAAAGAACAAATGAGGCCGGATTTGGGACAGTACTTGGAAAGCGCAGCAGGGCCCCGCAGACCGGGAAAAGTTAAATAACAAAATGTAGTGGATTTTTAAACATTTTTTTCGTGCCCGGGGTACCCCGGGCGAGGCCGGCTGGGTGTGCCCGGGAAAGCTAGATTCTCTTGGGATTTCTACAATCTTACGGTTTTTGAAGGAAACATCTCGTCCTACGGTCCTAGGATGGTAAGAGCACCTCCAGAATCGAGTTCTTGTGGATGGCTCCCGTCCATTGGTGGGGAGCAGCACCCGCCGGAAACCGGGTTCAGCGTCCCTGATGCAGCATATTTTGTAAAGGTACGGGGAGCATTTACCCAGCTTCGCTTTTGTTTCCTCTGCAGCTCAACGTCTCAGCTACTTTAGCTGCCTGTGCTGACCTGAAGACACTAGGCTTGCCACAGAGTAAGCAATGAGACATCCAGACCAAAATCCTTCCTTCTGAAAAAGCATAACCCTCTTAAACCCTAAACCCTAAACCCTACCCCACCTAACCTTAGATGTAGGGCTGGGTTTAGCTATGCTTGTCGCCAATGAAAAAGTAACCTGAATGGTTGTCACTTTGCCCTGGCCCAAAATTCTTTGTCCGAAGCGCCTCCCTATTTCCCGAGCCTGCACTGGGTTCTGCTGTGGCTGCCGCCGGACCCTATGCCACTGCACTTGGATGTCGGTTTCCAGGAGGTTGTAGTAGATGGTTCTTGCCTGCTGTCGATGCATTGGGTTATTGTCAATGGGCTGCTGGCAGCGTCGCTGCCGAATTGTCCACAGAGCGTACTGACACGAGCTGAAAGAGGCATTTCTCAAATGGTTGCCGCATCTTGGGGAGGTCCGAGCCTAAGGGTAGTCCAACCTTGGTGTCCGGGAATGGAGAGTTCGTACTCTGGCCCCACAGGTCTCTGGCTACATCCCATGAATGCACTGGCTCCTGACAGGAGAACAGACAATGAACTACAGTCTCTGTAACTCCCTGCGCACCTCTGGCATTTCAAGATGGAAACATTGAGTTGCCGTCATCTTCCCTCTCCTCCTCCCTTCGTCTCTCTTCCCCCTCCATTCATCCGTGTATGAGATCAGCCCCTGGCCTCCTCTTCACACCACCGATGCGTGTTTGTGAGAGATTCGTTGCAGTCTGAGTCGGGTCTGAGTCAGTCCATGTGTATCAAGTCTTCCGCTGTATTTTGTACTTACTCTGGATTATCTGGTCGGTTCTGGGAATCTGCGCCATACTTATGACTGTGTTTCACGAGTATGCAACACAGGACTGACCGTGCCGAGTGGGGACCATGGCAGTTGCTGTAGTTGTGACGAAGACACCCCCATCCTGTCCTCCCAGAGCTGAAACAAAGGTGCCGAGAGGGGATAGGAACGTCTGCGAAGTCTATACCCCATCCGAATGGTGTAATGGAGGATGTTGTGTCGTCTAGGCACTTCTAGCTGATCTCCCCAGAGACTCCAGGCCCATTCCCCTGGATCCACTTCCAAATCCTCTGCCGGTTCTGATGGGCTGTAAATTGTGACGCCATCCATCTCTATCACTCGCACCTTGCCAACCGCCCCCGGTTGGATAGTGATTAGAGTTCGGGTGTTTTTTTGTCCAGATGACTGGTGGTGGCTCCCGGGCTCTCAATGTCCGCACTCAACCAATCCCGGTGGGTGCCCAGTTGGCTTGATACCCGAAATGCTACCTGCGGGTTGGGCTCCTCGCTCCCTGTGGCCCAGTCCCCCGAGTCCAAATGCAAGCTGCGTTCCAATAGTGTCTTCCAATCCTCTGGAATTGGGGTTTTACAGGGGGTATGAAACGGCGGGCGAGAAGAAGAAGAGGAAGCAGAGGACAAGAAGAAGAAGAAGAAGACGAAGGTTGGTGGAAGATGGGCAGCAGGGGGGTATGAAACGGCAGGCGAGAAGAAGAAGAAGACAAGAAGAGGAGGAAGAAGAAGAAGAAGAAGTAGACGGTTAGTGGAGGATGGCGAGCAGGAGTTGAGAAAGGCAGGCAACAAGAGGAAGAACAAGAACAAGACGAGAAGAAGAAGAAGAAGAAGAAGAAGAAGAAGATGGATGGTGGAAGATTGCGGGCAGGAGGGAAGAAAGGTGGGCAACAAGAGGAAGAACAAGAAGAAGATGAGAAAAAGACTAAGATGGGTGGCGGAGGCTTTCAGGCAGGAGGTGAGAAACGGCAGGCAAGAAGAAGAAGAAGAAGAAGAAACCGCGGGCGAAAAAGGACAGGACGAAGAACAAGAAGAAAACAGGAGGACGAAGAAGACGAAGACGAAGACGAAGACGAAGAAGCAGCAAAAGACGACGACGACGACAACGACGATGACGAAGAAGAAGAAACGGCGGGTCGCTACGGCGGCGGTGGGGCTGCGGCTATGTCGACCTGCACACTCCCGCTAAAGACACAGGAGGAGCTATTCGTAAAAAAGAGGCCACGGAATCCTGTCTCTCTCTCTCTATATGATGATGATATATATATATATATATATATATATATACACACACACACAAACACACGCACACACACACACCGACGAGCGGCCGATGGCGATGTGGTGGCGGAGTTTGCGTGGCTATGGCGCACGTAGGGGTGCTGCGGGGTAGCGGCCACAGGGCGCGGCGATGACGACCTTGCCATTTGCAAAATCCACCACACGCGAATGGCAGGCCCCGCCAGCATTTGAAAGTTCGAATGCTGGGGGGGGCTGCCATTCGCGCGTGTTACGTTTTGCGAATGGCACCCCGTCGCAGTGATCGATCCTAGCAGATCGGTGGCTAAATTCAATCGACGAAAAAAAGGCCCAACTTTTTTTTTTTTTTTTCGGAAACAAGTGCTACCGGCCTTGGGGGGGTGGCCTGGACCGATTCGGCCTCTCGAGACCTCTCCACGCGTTTTGCGCTGGGACCGCCCGGTGGCCAACCGGGCGGGACAACCGGCCAGGCGGCCCGGCCCCCTCCCGGGACGGCGTCCAGGGCCCCGGGCGGCCCGGCGACATTCGAGAATCATATATAAGTCATGAGGAATTGGTCATCCTTTCCCATCTGGAGGAGCAATTCCAATGCAGGATGCAGGGCGCCCGCTCAACCATGTGAAAAGAGAGAGAGCGCAATTTGAGGGCCCTACTAGCCCATCCGAATGGTGTAATGGAGGATGTTGTGTCGTCTAGGCACTTCTAGCTGATCTCCCCAGAGACTCCAGGCCCATTCCCCTGGATCCACTTCCAAATCCTCTGCCGGTTCTGATGGGCTGTAAATTGTGACGCCATCCATCTCTATCACTCGCACCTTGCCAACCGCCCCCGGTTGGATAGTGATTAGAGTTCGGGTGTTTTTTTGTCCAGATGACTGGTGGTGGCTCCCGGGCTCTCAATGTCCGCACTCAACCAATCCCGGTGGGTGCCCAGTTGGCTTGATACCCGAAATGCTACCTGCGGGTTGGGCTCCTCGCTCCCTGTGGCCCAGTCCCCCGAGTCCAAATGCAAGCTGCGTTCCAATAGTGTCTTCCAATCCTCTGGAATTGGGGTTTTACAGGGGGTATGAAACGGCGGGCGAGAAGAAGAAGAGGAAGCAGAGGACAAGAAGAAGAAGAAGAAGACGAAGGTTGGTGGAAGATGGGCAGCAGGGGGGTATGAAACGGCAGGCGAGAAGAAGAAGAAGACAAGAAGAGGAGGAAGAAGAAGAAGAAGAAGTAGACGGTTAGTGGAGGATGGCGAGCAGGAGTTGAGAAAGGCAGGCAACAAGAGGAAGAACAAGAACAAGACGAGAAGAAGAAGAAGAAGAAGAAGAAGAAGAAGATGGATGGTGGAAGATTGCGGGCAGGAGGGAAGAAAGGTGGGCAACAAGAGGAAGAACAAGAAGAAGATGAGAAAAAGACTAAGATGGGTGGCGGAGGCTTTCAGGCAGGAGGTGAGAAACGGCAGGCAAGAAGAAGAAGAAGAAGAAGAAACCGCGGGCGAAAAAGGACAGGACGAAGAACAAGAAGAAAACAGGAGGACGAAGAAGTGTTGGGTGAGTGAAATATTGTATTCCTTGGACTTGCCGGTGGAAAAGGAACCGGGTTGACACTCCCCAGAATGGATATGGAGCCAGGAACTGTGAGTCAATCGCTTTCGGGTCGAGGCTCAACTCAGAAGTTGTTTGCAACTTTGTGATTTGACGGATTGTGACTCTTTTTGAGTCTATCACTTTCGGATCGAGGCTCGACCAAGAAGTTGTTGCACTTTCAGAACGAGGCTCAGCCAAGACGTTGTTTGCAACTTTGTGATTAAATTCTGTTGAACTGACATTTTTCTCAAAGTGTTCAAGTTCAGTATATTATTCTCAATGGGCAAATAATATAGTAGACATCTGGTGGTGCAAAGTTGTACTGGGCTTTACTCTCACAGTGAATGCCACAATTCACGCCTACTGGAGACCGCAGCAGCTGTGCATCATCCTTTTGCTTATCACTGCTCAGTGGAAATGTTAGGCTTTGAAAATTCTCAACCTGTGTCCATATGCTTGGTTCCTGAGCTTCTCATTAAATTACACATGGCCGCCTCTGGGCATTGGTCTCCACTGACTCTCCAGGTATCGAGACCAGCGCATCCCTCTGGCAGCAGGATAAGTTCAGATGTGACCCAGTTGATTGACAACTGTGCACCTTTTTTTATCTGGATGGCTGATGATCAATTCAGAATTTCTGAATTTGACACACATCTTCACTTTATCCTGCTGCTAGTGGGACCATGGGCCCAGATGGTCCTCGCTCCTCGTCCATTGTGAGGAGCGTCAGTCCTGGCTCCTTGCTCTAAGAAATGCATGGATGTATTGTAACTCTGTGTTGGTTGGATGGCTTCCTCAACACGCTAACGCTGCTACGTCCGCTAGATATTTTAAACAACTTTGGCAAATAGCTCGTCTACATACTCTCTGGGCGTCGGTCACAACTCTGGCCAGCTGAAAGAAACCAGTTTTATAGTGACCAACCGTCAACATGCTGATCTCCACTCTCTATGTTCTGATTGGAATGAAGAAAGTCATGCTGCGGTAGCACCACACCCATGTAACTGTTGGTAACTTGAGAAAGAGATCAGTGCAAATCCTGAATGGGGGTTCGTCACGTGCTGTGTGGGTTTTCCAATGCAGGTCCTGGTTGGCTGCTGGTTGGAGGTGATTTTGTCTTTCTGTCCACCAAGGGTTCTTCGCCGGATCTTCCCTCCAGTAGTGACCGGAGTTGTGGGTAAGAAGAGGATACTAAGAGCACAACACCCCATGTGCTGGATTAAGACAAGAATGGGTTCCGAAGTGACAAAGTGAACATTAATTTATAAAAGGTGTACAATAAAAAAGGTGTACAATACTGTATATAGTATATACTATATAGTTACTGTTATTGGTTTCTGTGAGCACGTGTGAAGCTGTGAAAGTGAAACAACGAAATAGGAAATCATGTAACTTCAACTAACTTGCTGTTAGTACTTTCTGTTGCTGTAAGATAGTCATATGTGCCTGTAATCTCAGCAAATTGCAGAACACTTAAATTGACTTAATGCAATTGAAGATTAGGAAATAAACGAAAAGAAAGAAAAAGGATTGGTGGCACGGAAGCTTCAAGCGTTCATCGCTGCCATGAACAGATTTATAAGCCTTTTGGGGGGGGCAACTGCGCACAGTCTGAAATTTTATTGAATTAGTGTCTCAAACTGATAGCCTCAACTACCGTCTTCCCCTGAACACAACGCACCCTGKATTTGACTATATCTGACCAGACTTATTGCTTATTTTGGTTCACAGCAAGGGTGCACTGTGTTCGGGGAAGGACGGTAGTCATATTGCAATTGGATAACAGATACCCTCGGTGGACACAGAGAGAGAGAGAGA